TTCGACTGAATTTGAATAGATTTTGACCAAATTCATAAAAATGAGAAAAATGGAAAAAATTCAGCTGGAAAAATGAATTGCTGGGGAGGTCCGAAATTGCATTCACCGAGTACTAACTATTTCAACCGGTTGTCGCTCTAGTCGTCGCCGTTGTCATCATCGTCCACCTCTTCATTCGGCTCGAACTCGAGGTCCTGTCTGGCCGCAGCAGAGACCTGTACGGTAGAAACGGTGGTCGTCGTTGTTCCACACCTCCTCCGACTCCGGCGGGGGAGGAGTACTCAGACGACACGTCGGTTTTGTCGGACTCGATCATATCCTTGGTTGTGACGTCGGTGGCTATTAAAGGCCCGCTTAGTTCCAAAAAGTTTTTTTCAAAAACATCACATCAAATCTTTGGGCATATGTATGGATCATTAAATGTAGATTAAAAGAAAAACTAATTGCACAGTTAGGGAAGAAATCGCGAGACGAATCTTTTAAGCCTAATTAATCCGCTATTAGCACATGTGGGTTACTGTAGCACTTATGGCTAATCGGATTAATTAGGCTCAAAAGATTCGTCTCGCGGTTTCCAAACGAGTTATGAAATTAGTTTTTTTATTCGTGTCCAAAAACCCCTTCCGACATCCAATCAAACGTCCTCCGATGTGACACCCAAAATTTTTCATTTCGCTAACTAAACATGCCCTAACCACGCGCACTAATTGAACCATTACTATAACCTTATGTCTTTAAGTAGCCGTCAAAGAAAATATATTCCCATATGCAGCTCATATATATCAACCAGAATCTGCCCAAGGTTTCATCACATGCGGCTGCATGTTTCAGCTGCCTGTGTAATTGAATGACAAGGTCAAAATCATTTGTACCGTAGTGAAAATTTCTTTTAATTTACTTCTTTTGATACGCGCGCATAACTCGGGGTACGCCTAATGGGCAATCGATCGCCAGGCGATGGGGGTAGCGATCGATCCCCCTCCCCCCCTCCCTCCCTTCACCTGGTTTCTTTTTTTTGACACCGCATTACTTTCCTATTTTAGTAAATTTATGCACCTAAAGTTTATATACCTCAAGTTTACACATCTAAAGTTTAGAGACCAAAAGTTTACAAGTCAAAAGTTTATATATCCGATTCAAATTTGAATTTGAATTAAAATATTTTTTATATATAGTATTTCTATGCATCTAAAGTTTATACACCTAAAATTTATAGACATAAAGTTTATATACCCGTTTCAAATTTAAATTTGAATTTGAATTATATCCGATTCAAATTTGAATTTGAATTCAAATATTTTCTATATATAGTATTTCTATACATCTAAAGTTTATAGACCCAAAGTTTATAAGTCAAAAGTTTATATACCCGATTCAAATTTGAATTTGAATTCAAATTTTTTATATATTGTATTTCTATACATAAATTTTTCTAACTTTTTGTTTTTTTAAAATTTTTTGTGGAGATGTGTAAACTTTGAGGTGTACAAACTTTAGGTGCATAAATTTACTAAAATATGAAAGTAATGCGGTGAAGGTGGAGGGAGGGAATCAGAATCTGATTGCCCCCCCCCCCTCTAGCGACCCCTAGCGATCGATAGCTGGGTAGCATTCTCGCATAACTCGTGCTCTATTCAAACCGTCTAGTACATGAACTTGCATAGATCAACACGAACAACGTTGCCATACCATCCTTAAATTCAATCATGTAACTAGCTAACTCGTACTGTTTTCCAACAAAAATAAAAAAAAGGGCTCACTCGTACTCTTCGACACTGCACTTCCTAATCTGTCCGGACCTTCCATATATCATGCGTAGGTTGAGCTGTATATACTTCTGTACAAGATATGCACAAACATCACCACGTACGCATGCACACCATACACACATAGCTATCACACATATTTAAAGCGGTAATTCTTGATCTCACTAATTAAATTTCTATTGGTATTGTATCACACTTTTTTTTTTGTAATATTTATAGGTAAAATGTAAAATAATACTATGAGACCAGGTCCCTGTTTAGGATGTAATACCTCTGTTTCAGGTTACAAGACGTTTTGACTTTGGTTAACGTCAAACTGCTTTAAGTTTAACTTAGTTTGTAGAAAAAATAATAACGTTTTCAATCCAAGATAAATTTATTATGAAAATATATTCAATTATTGATTTAATAAAACTAATTTGATATTATAAATATTACTATATTTATCAAGAAACTTAGTCAAACTTGAAGTAATTTGACTTTGACTAAAGTTAAAACGTCCTATAACCTGAAACAAAGGGAGTATTAATTAATGCTTTAAACGAAAACAAAGACAAGGTCTCGTACTCTCTTGTCACCACATCACTACTTGTAATTCATCTGTATTTGAGATAAATTGAACCAAGAGAAATCGAACTGGACTTAGTTCCAGTATAATTGGTTTACTGAATTTAAAATAGTTTTCTCAAGCTGACTGTATGCATCGGACCGATGAATAACTACAGGACATCAGGAAGGTAGCAGCAGCCGTACTAGAGATGTCCCCCGAGGAAGTGGTGGAATCACCTACTTCATCGGAAGAATCGTCGTCCCACGCCAATATAAACCGCAATGCGTCTCCATCGGGCCCTACCACAGGAATATGCCTCTCCGGGGGAACGTGGAGAAGAAAGAATGCCTCAACGACATCCTGCGCAAGGAGGCGCAGAGGCGCAGCGGCGATCTATCTTCATCGGAAATTAAGAGCGAATGGATGAACGAGCTGAGTAGATACGTGGATAATTCACCCGAGTGCTACTACGACTTCAACTCTTTAAATAAAAACGAAAAGCATATGACAACGGAGGATTTCTTGAGCATGCTGCTCGAGGACGGCTGCTACATCCTTCACAAGTTCGTAGTTCGACAGGATAGGACAGCAGCGGTAGGAGGAGGAGGAGGTAGCGGACGATACAGGGAAGACATCGACGTTAACGTACAACGCGACATCATCTACCTCGCTGAGAATCAGATACCGTTCTTCATCCTAGACAAGATCAACGGAATAATAGGTTGGAGCGTGACTGGTAAACCTCTGGTAGAGGTGTTCTGCTCGTACATCGAACGAGAGGTGCTCAACTGGTACGGGTACGCCATCGGACAGCGGTGGAACGTGACACCGGAACCCATTCATCTCCTGCACCTGCTGCACATACTCCTGATAGGATGCCAGAAGCCGCGGGCGCTGACACACACACACCAGGTGGCTACCGGCGCAGCAGTTCCGACGGAGCCGCACGCTGCTCGTTCCCGCATCGAGGCGTCATCGGCGAACATCACCCGGCAGAACGAAACAGCGATCGAGATGGTGCCAGTCATCACGGATGCCTCGACTACCCAGCACGAGCAGACAGCAGCAGGGACGCGCGCCGCCCATTCCCACGGCGAGGCGTCATCGGGGAACCACCCCCAGCAGGACGAAACAGCGATCGACGTCATCACGGGCGCCTCGGCGACCGAGCACAGGAATGAGAAGCCACCAGAGAAGAAGGGGGTGCGCCGTTTCCTTCGTTGGCGCCGGGCCAAGCAATATGAAAAGGCCCGCGTCGATCTCACAGGCGTCGACCTGATTTCCATCGCCGAGGGCCCCGGCGGCGAGGCATGCGGTGCTCTCTCAATCCTGGATGTGAAGCTGATCGGGCGGTGTGGCGGAATACGACTCGAATTTCCCAGCCTGTACGTCGATGGCGAGACATGGTGCATGCTAGGCAACCTAATCGGGCTGGAGCAGAGCAACCCTGACATGATCCCGCAGCGTGTCACGGCGTACTGCGTGCTCATGTCCCAGCTGGCGTGCACCAAGGAAGACGTCGAGCTGCTGGCCCGGAGACGCGTCACCGATCACCTTATGCGCAACGACGAAGATTGTGCCACAAAATTCGCCGCTCTCTGCGACGGGGTCAACTTCAACCTGGACGACCCTAGCCGCAACTACCTGCAGAAAGAGTGTGTGGCGCTGGACCAACGCTACCGGAGTCGGCCATCCCAATGGACAGCGTGGATGCTGCGCGAGCACTGCCGCAACCCCTGCGTCGCCGTCGCTTCTGTGCTTGCCATCATCGCCATCGCGTTCGGCGTGCTGCAGGCTGTCTATACGGTCCTAAAGCTCGTGCGAAAGGTAAAATAACAATCTGATTGAGCCTGCAGTTTGTGTGTGGAAAGCGCTCGTATAGGCATATATGTGTTTGTTTCAAGTCTATTTCTTATCTTTTCCCTATCTTTTCTTCTTAAATTACTTATTCCACTTTGAGTGGTCTGTTTATAAACTCATAATAAGAGCTTTGTCCATCGCCAGACATAAAGCGTCTACAATTATATAAAAAATATAAACATGTATCTGTCATCTACTTGCCATTAATTATGTCAAACTATGTGGAATTCTGGATTGTATATTTCCGTTGAAGTATTGGCTGATACATTAACTTCACAGATGAAATAGGTATGTGAGGGATGTAGGTCGTCTGCATGCAATAGTGCTCACTGACATGTGGGCTCCATAGCCCCTCGGGCTCACATGTCAGTGAGCAGTACTGCACAATCTCAATTGATATTTGAGAGTCTGTGGAGTGTATAGAAAACTCTTAACCTAATTTTTTGTAACAAATAAACTTGCCTCTACTATAGTGTTTGTTGTAAACCAACGCGGATTACCGGATCTGTTATCTATATCCCTCCCGCAGCATAGAGGCGTGAGAAGATGTAGAGCACCACATAGATGTAGGGTGTAGCTCTCGCTTCTTTTTATATCTAATCTCGAGTACAAGTCTCCATAGATGTCTTACTCTGCCTCTTATATATATATATTGAAGAGAATGAGGTGGGAATTAATCCCCCTCAATTAATTTGGAGGAACGGTGAGTGGAGGAGACGAATCGGAGGCGGCAACGTGCTAGGTTTGGCCGGAGAGGAGAGAGAGGGCTGGTGTCTGGGGCGCGTGGAGGAGCAGAAATGGACTTCGGTCCGCGGGAGAGGGGCGAGCTGGGCCCAAGGAGAGGAAGTGGGAGGGGAGAGAGGGAAAGAGAGGGGGCAGCCCGGCTGGGCCAAGAGAAGGAGAGAGCGAGAGATGGGCCGGAAACGGCCCAAGAGGAGGAAGAGGTTTTCTTTTATCTTTTCCTTTTTATAAAATTCATTAATTCTTTTTGTTGCCTTAAAATTATTTAGGATGCTCTAAAAATTCAAGTAAAAATTGGTTAAATATTTTGAAGCATGTGGAATTTACTAAAAATACCCGCAAGCCAATTTGACATAAATCTTGGTGAGTTTTAATTGTTGGAGGCTCTTTTTAGGCTTTTAAAATTTCTAGAAATGCATTAAAGCACGATTTAAACCTAGGGCGATTTTCAGGGCGTTACAGATGTCGTGCTCGCTTGGTCATCCTCGATTAGAATCGAGAAGACATGATGCATGCGACATCACTGAAGGAAGGAGAACATTCTCCAAACAAATTTGAATTGAAGTCTAAACAACTGCCATAAACGGTCTTGAGCAAATTTCGGCGGCAATCTCTCTCCTTTCCTTGAAATTCGAACCGTCAAGTAGTGCGCCTATTAAACCTGGTTTTGGGATCCATTTCAATTCCGTTTGCCCAAACGCCTTCGTCTTCCTTGCGCACACATCTTCAGTCCTTTCTGCTTCCAAGAAATCCTAGCCACCTTTCTTCCACACATCGCACACATCGATCTTATGGATTTGGGAAAGTCCAGCGTCGATACTACTGAGATGAAGAAGCTGCAGGTGGAGGGCTCTCTTCCTAGGCGAAACAACATGAAGCGCTTAGAAGGAGGTACTGAACCAAAACCTACCCTAGGACAGATCGTAGTTCTAGAGGATTTAGCTCGTTGTGGTTTTCTTCCTCCCCCTTCTGAGTTTCTTCTTCTGATTTTGAACTTCTACAACCTTTATCTTGTCCACCAGAACCCTAACTCCATCGCTTTTCTGATCATTTTTTCTTATCTTTGAGAGGCCTACATTGGCGTAGTGCCTTTTCTTGATCTTTTCATATATATTTATGAGCTTCGATGGATGGATGCCTGCAAGATCTCCGGACGCTGCGGGTTCTGTCTCCGAGATGGGATGAGGGCGAATACATCCCCTTCGACTGCCACTCATCTTGGGGCTCATGGGGATCCAAATGGTTTTACCTCCATGTAGACAAACTCAACTCCGTTCTTGTTGTCCCAGAAGATCAGCCTGACCGATCTCTTGACTGGACCTCGAAACCTTCCTTTACTCCTATAATACCCCGAGTTTCGAATTAGTGTATTTCGAGAAATATTAGAACAAACGCGCAAAAGTTCAACTTTTAAACCGTTGTTCGATTAGGCGATCAGGAACCGTGGATGCGTAGGGCTCGTCGTGTAGTGCAAAGTAGACTATAAGTTTGAGGTAAACAGAGTCCCGATGTATTTCCGGTGATCGAATTAATGTGGGCCGTTCGATTTTCTTTAACCTCTCTCTATATAACCAACAGAAAAAAAGAAAAAAAAGGGGAACATGAGAGATCAATACTTGAAGCCCTAGCCGTCTTCTCTGTTTAGGGCACCGCCATCGCCGGACGTCACCACTGTCGCCGTTCGTCGCCGCCGCGGCTGCTACTGTGTTTCTCCTATTGCTAGCGGGAAGAAGAGAACAACAGGAAGGAGGGTGAGAAAAGGGGGAATAGGATAGAAGGAGGGGAAATCTAGGGAATTTGGTGGATATTTCCAAATTCTTTGTTTTTCTTACAAATTAGTACTGCTAGGTGTGGAGAGATCCGATGTGGAGAGTGTTACATCGGGTTACCGTCAAGGTTAAAGGCAAGTGCATGACGAACTAATCAATTGTGTGATTCATGAATTGCTTACTCTATTTATTTATTTTCTACATATTTCTATGTGATATATCTGACTGCTTATGTTCAGATTATTGTTAAAGCCATTTAGATTTCAACTTTATCTTATTAAGGCCTTTGTTATCCCTTGCACTTGCATATTTGCTACGTGGCTTGTTGAGTATGTCATATACTCACCTTGCAATCATTCATCAGAGGAGGAGTTCTACAGTGATGCTGAAGGTGTGGAGGATTAGCGTACCTCTAGTCAAGATGCTTGTGGGATGGAGTAGCCTACGCTATTTATTTTATTTTCTACTGCTTAGATCTTTATTGTTTGAGAGGAACTATCTACCTCAGTAATGACTTTATATTCGCCTATTAATTAGATAAATTTTTGCACTCTATTATCAGTTTGATATTGTGTGCCTCGGCTGATTCATGGACGAGGGTTTACACACATGTAAGCGTTTGATGTTTTGGATAGAAATTCCGGGCGTGACAGTCATCTCCCGGACTGTTTCCTTTAGTAATTGATACTTTATTGGATCGGGAGGTGGCAAGGGAGCAGATGGTTTTCTCTTGCTAAAATAGATCAGAGTGTTTCCGTAGTCTTCATTGAATCCATTCCTGAACAAGGGAGTACATCCCGGAGTTCGAATTTCTTCGGTCACAACGGGCGATGGCTCGGGAAGAAGTTCTCTGCTTGAATCGGGAGAGGCAGAAACTTCAGGCTCAGATTCGGAAACCAGAGGCTCCTCTATTCTAGACACAGATGCCTCGTGGGGGGGGGGGGGGGCTCATCGAGCTGACCCATAAAGGAGGTGTTTTCCAGAATTCGATCTAGAATCACCTTTGCTTTAGGCGGAGTTTTGTGCAAGAATGATCCTCTGACAGTTACATCTAGATAGAATGCAGATTCTTTATCTAAACCTGAATGGAAATGATGCAATAGCACATGATCGGGTATGGACAAAGTTGGGCCAGATTGCACTAGATTAGTGAACCTGGACCAGGCTACACCGATTGATTCTTTTTCCATCTGCTGGAAACTCAGGATTTCTACCCGCAGAATAGTGATACGGGTTACCGGAAAGAAGGCAAGACAAAATCTATCTCGCAACTTTTCCCATTCACCGTTCGCACATTTGACGGTAGATGTGTACCATTGCTTTACTCTCTCTTAAAGAGAGAACGGAAACAATTTCCACCGAAGTATTTTGCTTCATGCCTCGAATCTTAAGGCACAAACAGAGCTGTTCAAATTCCCGCTGATGATGGTAAGGATTTTCATGGTCTAGACCAGAGAAAGGATTTTCCTTAACCATGATTATTAATTCGGGGCGAATCTCGTAGCCAGTTGTAAAAATTGGCTGCGATGAAGGAGGTGGCTCGTAAGATTTGCCCCATGGAGCAGAGAGTTGGAAGAATGATGACGGCTCCATCGGTTGAGAAGAGTTTACATGATTGCTTCTCGAGGATAGCAGGGGTAAAGGTACAAGAAAGAAAAATAAAAAGGATATGAAGATGAACAAGGTTCGAAGATAGACAGCAACCATTCCCCAACAACGGCGCCAGAAATGCTTGTTAGTATTTCTTAACTTTAGAGATAAAATCCGCAAGCTCACGGATAATACCGATGTAGCACTTCACCCAGGAGTATTCTCAGGTATCGATTTCCATAGGGAACGTGTGTGTCAACTCCGGGTTTAGGTTCATCCAAGGACACGAAGCTATGGATAGGCAAAGGATAGAGAGGTTTCACCGGTGAAGAACAGGGTCTACATAAAGCTTAACTTTAATCCTAATGAGGTATTTCGGGCACTGTTGGTATTTATTACGATCACAGATAGAATCCGCAAGCGCACTAATATACCGATGTAGCACTTCCCCTATGGAGTATTTCAAGGGTATTGAATCCAAGGGAACGTGTGTGATTATCTCCTCGTCAGGTTCACCAAGGACACAAAGCTAATGCGGGCAGAGGGCATAGAGGATTGCCTAATGAGAAACAGTGTCTAGGGAAATGTTAACTTTAATCCTAACGCAATACTTCAAGCACTGGCAACCCGTTGTTTCTAGAAGTTGCTCTACTACGTACCCGGACAGGGAGGACTTAAGTGCTCTTGAGAGCTGTCACCACCTCTACACCCACCTCAAACGTATTGTAGGATACGCAGCAACCATTGGAGATTAATTACCTAGACATCACATCTACGCAATTAATAACTACTCTAGTGCCGATCAAACACTAAAGCAATCACTATAAATAAATGGACTATAGTGAACAATGATCCCGCATGCTAATTAGCTAGAAACTAACCAAGAAGTAATTCTTACGAAGCAAACCTTAATTACTCAGAATGATATTTCTATTAAAACAAAACAATTAACAAGATACAAGAGTAGAAGGAGATTAATGACAACTTCGGGATTCCTCTGATTCCTTCTACCTTACTCTCTCTCTTTTCTAATATACAATAAAGTACACTAGAGCCTCTTGTAATTCAGCTCATGCTTTGGTGTGTGAGTGAAGTGAGAGAGAGGAGCTCTATTTATAGGCTTCATATGACGGTTACAGCTATGAGAAATGTCCTAAACGCCCTCCAACCGTCATTAGGGAGCAACCCTGGACGTCCATGTGGAAGGCTGGGATGAATTGGGCTTTGTGGCGGTTCGGCCGAACCATGGGCTGGCCCAACCGTCTCCGGCCTTCTTTTATTTCTTGACATTTGGGTCCCACTTTATTATTCTTCTAGCGTTGGCCCAATAAATAATGATTTAATATAGTTTGTGGGCTCATCACTCCATGGACTCCAGCGGGATGTATAATTCCCCTCCCTATATGTTTATTTCCTCTCAACTTTAGTAGTTTGTCACCTGCATACAAATATACACCAACACTGGTGGAAATCATTAGAAATAAAACCTACCACTATGATTGATGTTTCACATTTATAGTTTTATGCAGGTATTGACGGTGTTATTTTGTATTTAACAGCCGTCAACAGGCACTGGACAGCTCGCTGCTCCCAGATATCACTCTACTACACACCCGGACAGAGGTGACTTCAGCATCGTGAGGGCTGTCACCACCTCTACACCTACCTCACACCTACTGTGGGATGCGGAGCAAACACCGAAAATTAACTACCTAGACACCGTGTCTAAGTAGATTAATTACTTACGTTAATGTTAACTATACACCAAAGTAAATCACTATAGTTTAGTTGATTATAGTGGACGATTATAATAGACTAAGGCCCATCTTTTAATTCCAATATTTCCTTGATATTCTGTGTGGCTTTTATGTTATAAGCTGGACTCTGTAATTGAAAAATTGAAATGGATTAGAGATAGAGAAATCCAGAAGAATTCCCTCAAGCGTTGCTCTGTTCCTCTCTGTTTTCTTTGTTTCCATGCTCTCTTTCTTGCCAGATTAGCTACAGAAATATCGCAAGGTGCTTGACGCCTTGACCTCGTGCCTATGCCCATCTGCCGGTCCCCACCCTAGACAGTACGCACGAAAAACGGAGCATTTTATTAGCATATGATTAATTAAATATTTTTTTTTCAAAAATTGATCAATATGATTTTTTAAACAACTTTCGTATAGAAATATTTTTTTTTAAAAAAGCACCATTCAATAGTTTAACGAAGCAATGGAGTTGGAAACTTTGGAGTTCCAAACAAACCCTAATTAATAAACCAACAGCCGCACGCCCGGGTGGCCTCGAGGAGATCGGGAATAGGGTAGAGCAGTCGTCATAGCGTTGGGAGTTGACAGGTTAGTTCGTTTCCTCTGGTTCCCAGCTCTCCACTCTCGTCTTCCACACGCACGTTTTTCAAACTGCTAAACGGTATGTTTTTTTTTTGCAAAAAAGTTTCTATATGAAAGTTGCTTAAGAAAATCTTATTGGTCCATTTTTGAAAAAAAATAGCTAATACTTAATTAATTACACGCTAAGGGGCATCCACAATGTGAAGCAAAAGTAGTCCATAGGCAATATAATATTCTATTCAGCTACCTTTTATCATTATACAACTAGTCTATATGGAGAAAATAACAAAAGGTATCCATAAGCATATGGACTACCCATCTGGAATAAATAATACTATCTATCTCTATTTCTCTCTCATGTCCTAATGCTGCTACCTTGTATCTATATACATCGTGGAGGTTGCTATAGTTAAAGTCTTTTTATGTGGGTCCCATCTATATGGATCACTTTTGCCATATATATTGGTGATGCCCTAATAGACTGCTCGGTTTTCTGTGCGGAGGAGTTTGGTTCCCAACCATCCAAAACGAACACAACCTAGTAGCTAGGCTTTTGCATTTTACCACCTTCGTCCTAAAAAAATTACAATTATAGGTTATTTAGCATATACTATTAAGATTGATGAAAAACTATGGTATGTCTCATTAGAGCATCACCAACAGCCATCCTATATTCTTCCCAAAACTGATTTTAATGTATTTTATATAAAAGATGTATCTAACATATCCCCTATAGTCCTACACATGTTTTGGAGTTTCCTTCCCCGTATTTCTCGCTCCGTTGATTCGAGGGAGGAGTGCGATCTATTCTCGGCGCATACGGAGAAAAAAAAATTCGTCGGTAGTTTAACAGAAGGGGTCTACTTTGTGGAGAAAAATAAATTCGTTGGTAGTTTAACAGAAGGGGTCCACTTTTAGTTTTTTTATAAATTTTAGGCTTTCTTTTAAGGCGACATCAGTTTATTTATTTACTTCCTATTTTCAGTTTAGGAAAACTAAAAACAAATTTTCAGAGGAAGATTATACGTAATCTCTTGGTGATGCTCTTAAATGGTGTATAAGAATAAAATTGAATGAGAAGTGATTATGAGACAATTAATACTCTATTGTGACAATTATTTTTGACAGATTTGAATCCTATAATTGCAATTATTATGGGACATAGGTTATAATTATGTAGCACAGCTTACAAAGCAACCGCTTGTAATAAACTTTTGTATTTTATTATTTCTGTATTATCATAAATAGCAGTGCTTGTATTAAACTGCCCGAGTACACAAATAACTATAGATGATAATACAAGCACTGCTTACATTGCAACTCATACATTTAACAGTATTGCATATACATTTAATAGTATAGTGCGTACGCCCACGAGTACATGTGTACGAGTATACGAACTAGTGATTACCTGCCACACCGGCAATGTGGTTGTGTATGGATATTTATACGCGCGCACGTACGTATGCTATACACACATGTATGAGATGGTGCGCCGGGAAGTATGGCTGGATTCTTATATGTTCCTTATTACAATATAGCTGAACGCCATCTTCGATCCGATGAATATCTTCTATGCATGCTTCCGCTGCTCACGCGCTACATGCAGATTACTACTTTAGATATTGATATTAGAAACAAATACTTAAGTTTGTGTATGAATGTGCCTGGAATATATTTCTGATATAAGTAAATACTTCTCCGTAAATATTTCACTGTTCCCTTAATAATTAATTAAACTCGTAAGGCAGGGTACATTAGATATATGTACCTATGTATTTATCATGGGCCGGGGAAGTACGCGATTGTGTTTACCGCCTGGATTGCTTGCTCCATATCATTCTCCGATCAGCTGTGTCAAAGGTATATACAAACAAAGTTATTAATCCACAACGGTGGAACTGATGAACTTATTCCAAATATTGTTTTTTTTTTTTCGCATGCATGCATGTATCGATTGATCGGTGTTGCACATTTGGCCAATTCAGTGAAGTCATGTCCCGAGGACAAGAGCCTAACGACAGTTCAGGCCACCGTGAGTATATGCATATCTATAATGATATGCACAATATTTTAACAAACATATCTATAATTTTATAATATTTAACATATACTTATCAATACATTTCACACTAAAGTGCCGGCATCATTTGTTTGTTTAATAATAAATGCTAATAAACCATGATGTTTTATTATATTTTTTTACTTCTATCTTGATTGTCTAAAAAAATATATATTTCGATCTGTGTATTCCACCGATGGAGAATACTTCCTCCACATCTTTTAAGTGCAGTTGTGGATTTTTTTAATATTTAATCATCCGTTTTATTTGAAATTATTTTATAATTAGTTTTTTTATAAGATGATAAACCATAAATAGTATTTTATGTTTGACTTTGTTTTTTAAGTTCTTCATAAACTTTTCAAGACAGTCAAACGTTGGACACGGGAACTCACGACTACACTTAAAATGGGATGGAGTGAGTATATATATACTTTATCCGTTGTGCATTCCTCCAATGGAGAATATATACTTCCTCCATCGTGCAATAAGTTCTATTTTAACTTTTTTTTTCATTTGTCTCAAAATTTTTTAGTAATCAATACATCAAATTTTGTGAAATAGAAAATAATTATATTAGGAGAAGATAGAGGGAGAAATAGTTACATCGATTGTGATTTGATAAAGTAGTGTCATGCTAGTTGTTTTGTTTTTCACTGGTATACATGTGATGGGTAAAAAGCAAATATATTTCGAACGAAGGTAGTATATATATAGGCGTGTACGTACCGGGTGGTTCGCTGACAGACGGTTGTTGCGATCCAGCTGTCAGAACGCGAGATAATCAGGTATCAGAACGCGCTGTAAATTAAACGTGAACAACAATAATTGAGTGTACAGGCGTATGTATATAGTACGTACCGGCAGATGTGCCTTGTTTACTGGAACGTCTGTATGTCATCCTTGTGCCTTCTGCTATGTAAAAAAAAGTGCAAATTAATTAACACTATTGCAAAATACCATGTAGAGGCCGACCAGCTGACACCTACGAAGCTTCTTCTATATTTTTCCAATGTAAAGTTAAGAACAGTTACCTATAACCACTCATCGGTACCCAGTTTGTTTTAAAAACCAGCACCATAATCCTCCGAAATTATTAGTGTCAGTTCTTATAACAAACTGGTAGACAAGGTCATACATAAGTACCGGCTCTTATAATAAACCGGCACCTATAAATGTGATACCATTGGTACTGGTTTTTATCATAAACCGACACATAGGAGCATCACATATGTGCCGGTTTTCAATAAAAACTAGCACCTATGAGTCCATAGGTACAGGTTTACAATTAAAACCAGTACCGATAATAACGCAACTTATATACGCATGTTTTTTATCGAACTTTTTCATATGGAAGTCGGGTGAAGATAAATTTTATGTCAAATTTCTAGAGCTCGACAAGATCTACAACTTTCTAGTTAATCACTTTGGATTTAAGGTCGTTTGGATGTCTGAAAATATGTTGCAAGATCTCAGATCTATTTGCATAGGTGGATATTTAAAATTTTTGAACGATATTGGATGGAGACAAAACCTATATAAATTATATCTACGTTGTTTTAGTTGACAAACTTTTTATTTGAGCTCTCTTTGGTGTTAAATATGAATTATAATTTCGGATGACAATAATTTCAAAAGAATAACATTTGTTTCCAAGACAACAAATGCTTGTCAGTGAGATGGTGAGGCTTTGGTTCAAGGGAAAGGTTTTGAGTTGCAATCTTACTTGACACATATATACATGAATATGAGTTAAAAAAATCGTGTGACTTGTGGGAAAAAGAGTACGATCGTATAGGTTGCTAATAAAAATATCAAATATTTTTTCGATATTTTAGCATCTGCAAAATTAAAAAAAAATTGTGCAACCCCGAAGGTACCGAATAATTTGTGCCGGTACTTACAACCCCATTAAAACGGGTACCTATAACCGTGTATGTAGTAGTGTAACAAAAGATAATCATAGTATCTCATAACACAGTAAACATGAGTTAAGAATGATTGAACCTTATACGAACGGTATATATATCGTATGAAAAAATAAACGTCGATTCGGCTGCTGGGTTAGAAGATGACAATACTACGATAATACGTACATTATATTCATCTCATCATTAGGAAGAAATAAAGATGGCCAGTACCATAAGTTAAAAAGAGCCTTTAATATATAACACAGTTGATTTTTTTGTCACACGTTCATCTTATTAAAAAAATTAAAATTAATTTTGTTATCACTCAAAGTACTTCAAGCATAATTTATCTCTTCGTAATCCGATGAGCATCTCAACCCCTATTTTCGATTTCCCAGGCAGACGTGTGGTTCCAAAAAAGTATCCGACTGGAAAAATGAAAGGGCCTTGTCTGCGAAAATGAATTTTTAGTAGTGTTCTACATTTGCAAAAAAAAAATTAAAGAAGATGAATAATTAAGTATGTGTTTAAAATTTAACTATATCATTTCCAAAAAATGGAGGAAGTATTTACATTTCTCGATGCCCATATAGCCAATCTTGTGTAGAAGAATGGAGAGTCACGCATTAAATCCGAGAAAGTCATTATTCATTAAGATGATAGGTGGTAGGATTGAAATATGCGTATCAAAAATAAATTTTGCAGATTTAGAAATTTTTCAGATTTGGAAATATGCCTATCAAAAATAGATGGAGGGTTTAAAGTTTAACATGCAAATATGTTACATTATCATCTACTAACAATTACATTTAAGCATCATATGAGCATGCTATATTATCTATAATTTTATAATTTATTAATTTTTACAGATTTAAAATGCAAGCATGTTAAATCATCCCACATAATTCAGATAATATTTCAATATATCTCTCCATCATGTTTTATAACATCCTATATAACTATACAGTCCATCCTTATAACCCACTAAATTCTAAAGTTTAACATGCAAAGATATTACATCATCATCTACTAACAATTACATTTAAGCATCATACAAGCAAGCTATATTATCTATAATTTTATAATTTATTAAATTTTAGAGATTTCAAATGCAAGCAGGTTAAATCATCCCACATAATTCACACAATATTTCAATATATCTCTCCATCATTTTTTATAATATCCTATATAACTATATAGTTCATCCTTATAACCCACTAAATCATAAAGTTTAACATGTAAAGATGTCACATCATTATATACTAATAATTACATTTAAGCATCATACAAGCATGTTATATTATCTATAATTTTGTAATTTATTAAATTTTAAAGATTTAAAATGCAAGCATGTTAAATCATCCCACATAATTCAGATAATATTTCAAAATATCTCTCCATCATTTTTTATAATATCCTATATAACTGTATAGTCCATCCTTATAACCCACTAAATCGTAAAGTTTAAAATGCAAAGATATCAAATCATCATCTACTAACAATTACATTTAAGCATCATACGAACATGCTATATTATCTATAATTTTATAATTTATTAAATTTTAGAGATTTAAAATGCAAACAGGTTAAATCATGCCACATAATTCACATAACATTTCAATATATCTCTCCATTATTTTTTTATAATATCCTATATAACTATATAATTCATCCTTATAACCTACTTGCACCATGGCCATCGTGTTTACCTTCCATCTGCAGCCCTAAATAAGTGGATTGGTCATTAACATATAAACGCATACATTATGAGGTAGTGTCATATTCTTGATTAGATTAAATTGGCACTTGTTATGAAACGAGACCACCTGTGGGTATATGACATGATCAATGGTTGTATCCATCGTAGGCATGGTCACATCCTCCTCCCCTTCTTCACGGAAAACCATCCTCGGTTTTAACTTTGGTAATTCACGTAGCATATCCTCACACAGCGCTTCATATGGTGCATTCTTTACTGTATATGGCAGCAACATTGAGCGATCTTGTCGCTCCCCTTCTTGAGAACCAACCTGCGTCTTTGGAAAAAAAGCAAAACAAACTTGAAGTAACATCAGTGGTCCTAACACTAGTCTCCAGTTTGCATTTTCTTGCCACAACAATAGAGGGTTGCATATCTGAACAAATGTAAACTTTGTGCACCAAATAAATTCCTCTACCATTATATTTGCCAAAGATGTGAAAAATAACATTACGAGGACATGGCAAATCAGAATTAGCAAATATTTTGTCCTTCAAACAATTGAGCTCACAAGAATCATCAAACATAATATAGCCCAATGTATTTAAAGAAGATTGCAATTGAAGTTCATCATTCTCGTTGGACGTGTGAATAACATGCTTAATTCAGTACATGGAGAATCAAGATTAAAAGTAGCATGTTCATTCACTAGTTGTGGAATGGTATATAAGTGAAGTACTATCGCACAACTCTTCTTTATCACAAGGAACAGAATGCAAATCAACTTGTGACAAAGGCAATTCAGAAGTAGGTTCCACTAAAGTTTGCTCTAGGTCAGCATGGAAATTACTCACCTTGAGTAATTTCTGCACCATTTAATTTACCTTTTATGCCCTCTTAAGATAATGTAGGTGCATCAGCCTTCTCCTCATTTGCGAGTGATGGAAGTGACATATCTAACATATTGTTCTTCTTATTTTGGGGACTGTTCTGAACTTCCTGTAAAACATCAGTGATAGGAGGCACAAGCATAGCTTGTTGCCCCGTTGGGTTCTCCAAAATTTTGCGCTCAACGTTGCAAGCAAGCATGAACAATTGGCCTATATGATTATATGTCACATTATCAAACCCAGCCTGAATATTGGAATTAAGCCCTTTGAAAAATCTAGTCATTATGTTCTCATTAGATTCTTGTAAACCACTATAAGTGATACAAATTTAATAATCATGAAAGTACTCCCTAACAGTTTTGTCACCAAGTTTTAGATGTTCAAATTTCTCAAGGAGAGCACGTTTATAATATGAAAACACAAAATTTTTCCTCATCATTGTTTTGCATTCATCCCAAGTTTCAAGCTTATTGCCAATAGTATACCACCAAAAAGATGCAGAACCGGTACATTTACTACTAGCAGGCTTAATCATTTGAGCATTAGAGAAATCATACTCATCAAATTGTTTGTCTACTGCTAACTCCCAATTAACATAAGCGGCAGAATCATACTTACCATCAATAACTGGTAATTTAGATTCTAACCTTGCAAGATCATTATCATGTACCTCATATGTGATGCGTGAAGAAGTCGCTATATCTCGTTGATGGTGAAGATGTTGATGTTGAGCATAACCATCTCGTTTCGCCTTGCGCAATCCTGCCATGGTTAGTAGCAAACAAGAAACATACACAAGAATATGCATGCTCCTATCAACTACTAGGTAGTGGCAGCTGAAATATTACTAACACTCAAACTTTTCACCAAGCTCTTACAAGTTCTTACCAAAGCAAGCGGAATGGTGATGTACACCGACTCAACCAAGCACCCCAATGGAGTTTGGATGTATCGATGCCTTGGCAAACACTTGCTGTACGGCTGCAATCAAATCTGTGGAGCTTTGGGTAGGCTTAAATATGTAGCAAGGATGGAAAATGGTCAAATCAGAGAATGCAAAGTTGAATAATTGTTCAAAGTCAAGTACCGTGCTGGTCCTAGGCTAGAACGTACTAGAGACACGAGCCTAGACACAAACGATACCACAAGATAGCACTAGGAACAATTCATGCACAACTCTGATATATAAAGTTCAGCTCAAACATAACAATATTTTCTCTTTTCTTTCTTTCTTCTTTCTTTTTTTTTCTTTCCTTTCCTTTTCTTTTCTTTTTTTTGGGTGCGGCTTTTCTTTTCTTTTTTTATGCACCTTTCTGCCTTTTTTTCCTTTCTTTTTTTTGATTTTTTTTACAAAAACAAATTCAAGGACCTCAATGTAAGGTTACAGGGACTCAGATGTACATATAAAATTTACAGGGACTCAAATGTAAAAGTCCAAACTCAAAATTAAAATTATACAAAAATGGAATGCTCTCGTCCTACAGGTTCCATTTTTGCAAACGGATATTGAATCCGACACCAAAAGAAAATTTTACCGGTGTTTGACACACCTGGACAGAAACGGAGTCGTGAGGGAGGGAGGGAGTCGGACTCACAAGTCCCGGCCACGAGATTGGAAGGGAAGAGATCCCACTCGGCCTCAGTTTGGAAAGGCACTAGGTAATAAACAGAAACAGATTCGGCACTTCCTTTTTTAGTAGTTTTGCGTGGCCCTCCAAATAGAAACCAATCTACAAATTGTAGCACTTCATCCAAAAACCGATCTACTATCCCCTCTCTCTCTTCTTCCTCACGCGCAACATCACAGGCGTACTATCACGGCACACACCATCACGGCACAGCCACCGACTAGAAGCTATGCAACTCAAAAACTCAAAAACTAACCTCAGAAACTTCTGAAAACTACAAAAATAGAACCGTGGCAGCAAGCCGATTCCATTTTCGTAGGTCCCGACGACACCAAAGACATGGAGGCGACGACGACTGTGGTGTAAAATGTGACCAGAACTCGAAGGTCTAAGCGAACTAGACGCTATGACCAGCAACTACGACTCGACGATGCAACAGAAAACTCAACAAAGCAAAAACTGAAATGGACAATCCAATGCACAAGTATGGCTAGGCACAGGATACAATTTTTTTTTTGTATGGCAATTTTCTAGTTATAGGAAGATAAAAACTCACCGAGTAATGAAAGCTCTGATACCACCTGATGGACCCTAAGCTCCACTTGAGACACTCAAGGCTGCTGTTGGCCCGATCTTTCAGCGAGTTGTAGATAACTATGATTTGATAGAAACGTTGACGACCCGACTACAACCGTACTAGATGTTGTTGTGTTGCGCCTTAGCGATCGATACACCTCTCCGTGGGTTGTTGATCTTGCCTGTGCAAATCAACCTTATTCCTGCAAGCAAATCGAAGAAACAAGAGAGAAAAAGATAAAAGCAATCTGAATTGCAGATAGGAAATAAATACAGATGATAAGTTGGGGTTCTGTAACGAGCAAACCGACGATCTAACCGATCACGGGATTACATGGAAAAGTAGCGAAGCTAAACTTTTATCTAAAACAAAACCCAACTAACCCGGAAGGGGTTACTAGCTATTTAAGGGATGGAGGAGGTCAGATGGGCGTCCTCCCTCTGTTTGGGGCGCAGCCCCCCTTGGGCCCTACTTGGGCTGGGGTCCCAGACGAAGTTACTGGCCCATAGTCCCATTACAGACAATGCAGCCCTTTGTTTCTTCAATTGCTAGTGACTCAGATGGAATTTGACAATGAGGTTGGATCCGTTTGAAAGAGAATTCTAAGAGCTTTCCATCAAGTACTCGTGGGCCCAAAACGGAGGCCATATGGAGATTTGGCGACCGTTTGAATTCAGCACTATCTTAGGTGGCCGAATTGGATTCCAGAACGCGGGGGACTTCAACTCCATCTCTGCATGCACTGTGGCCATCGTGTTTATCTTCCATCTGCAGCCCTAAATAAGTGGATTGGTGCTGAACATATAAACTCATACATTATGAGGTAGTGTCATATTCTTGATTAGATTAAATTGGCACTTGTTATGAAACGAGACCACCTGTGGGTATATGACATGATCAATGGTTGTATCCGTCGTAGGCATGGTCACATCAGGCTTCCAGGAGAAGGAGCGACACAGTGGTGGCAGGAGTGATGTGGCGCGTGTCTATAGGTTGGACAGCGACGGCGCGGTCCGGGTGTCGACATCGACACAGTGGAGGGGAGGTGCGAAGCGGGCGGTGTGGACGCAGCTCACGCGGGCGGCGTTTGCAGCTAATGGAGAGGGAGGATGCAAGGGTGTGGACGAGGAGTAGCGGCACACACACGGGCGTCGGCCTGGGAGGCAACGATGTAACCGTCGGTCACTAGGCTTCCCCGGAGCACGTGTCGGCGGCGGATGAGATGGACGGCGCTGATGTGGGCCCGCATGTCGACATCGAGACTGAGGAGGCTTACGAGGTACGCTCCACCCTGTGCTTGCTCTCCCGTGTTCGGTGTGGACTTTTCTTCTTTTCGGTGTAAACCCGTCTCACTGTGGTGTTGGTTTTGGGGGGAGGATCTGGGCTGTGTTTAGTTCAGCGATGTGACTGAAAAGTTGTGTGTGTATGACAGGTTGATGTGATGGAAAATGACTGAAGTTTGGATCCAAACTTTGGATCTAAACATAGCCTTGGTGGACTGGGTGTTTGTAGGTGAAAATAGATGGATGACCTCATCCATGGGGAGGGGTGCAAGGGCATGGCGACCGAGCTGAACATGGTGCGCGACGTGCATCGCTGCGTTGCGTGGGATGCGAGTCGGTGCACGGCGTTGGAGTGTGACGCGGCGCGGTGCACTGAAGGAGGTGGAGCAGCGCGACACGGCGTGGCGTGGCGGCCTGGCGCACCGGCCCTGCCCGGCTCGGCATTGTGCCGAGCAG